ATAACATACTGAAAACTTGTAATATTTTTCTCTAGGAATTCTTTGTATTTAATTTTTCTATGAATTTAGATATAGGGTAATTTAGGTATTACTTTCAAAATTATCCCACTTTAAAATATAATTTCCTCTTGGCAGTTTGTTAGGCACTGTGTTTGACTTGTTTTCAGTGCAATGAAGAAGCCAAAATGGTTAAAATTCTATATTGCTGTTTATGTACAACATTAAGTTGGATCCAAATAATTTAAGAAAAAATATACTATCTAGAACTTAAAAGTAATTAAATAATGCATTTATACATTCGTATATATTGTTAAAAGAGTTATACATAAAATTTAAAAAGTGGCATCCCTAATGGTCTATCAGTTTGACTAGAATTTCAGTTATGTAGGTTCTGTGGCACCAGTAAGGCCACTCAGTTTTAAGAAGGACACACAAGTGCATTGACTGGTATAGATAGTACATACATTTAAGAAAATATAATGTTCATAGATAAAAAATATAAGACAGCAAAAAGGTACAGTAAGTTTTATGTGCTGTAGCAACTAAAAAAATATGTACTTACACGAACGCATACATATGGTCACTTTACACCTAAAAACTCAAGACAAATCAACCTTTTTAAAATGATTCCAGCCTATCTACATCTTCAGGTTTGGTATTGGGAGTTTCCCTACTGAAGGAAAAAGCGTTCTGTTTGCCCAGTTCCAAAATTATGTTTGACTGGTGCTATTTCTCTAAGTCACACCTTAATTTGTTTCCTGAGCTTCACCGGAAATTGGTTGATTCATCCCAGAGTTCATGTTTGCAATCTTGAAAGTTCAACTTTCCATACTAAGACGAACAACAGAGACTTTTTAAAGAGGTTTCAAGAGGATAATAAATCATAAAATTGAAAATTGAAGGAGGAAAATTACCTTCACTTCAAATGTGAAGTCACAGTTATCTTCAAGGACTTTGAAACAGTGATATTATGCAGTGCTAATTATGTTGCTCCATATTCCATAGTGGAAGAGTTCTGGTGGTGTAGTCAGTAGGAACTGCTAACCATACACTGTAGAAGTTTGTATTCATAACATTTTAATTCAAGGCACACTTTAGCAGTGTTAATTTAAATGTACAAAAATATAGCAGAAGATGTTATCTCTGTCTGAACTTAGCCCTGACTAAAGTTTCACACAGACAGGGATAAAGAGAGGCACTAGGGGCAGAGAGGGCTGCGTGAGCATGAAGATGAGACAGTGAAGAGTATGTTCTAGAATAGAAAAAATGAAGGAGTGAGTGAATGGACAAAATCCTCCTGTGCTAATAAGCTGCCTCTGGAGGCCCCCCAAGAGTGTCAGGTATGGGTTGCGTCCAACTTGATGGTACACAACAACAGCAACAAAAGGGAGAAAAAACAAAACCCAAAACTAACTTTTGCTTCAGTGGAAAGAAAAGAATATTCAAACCAACTTGATTTGTTGCTAATCAGTCAGAACTAACTCATAGCTGACTCTCCAGAAAGTTTCTGTGATTGTAAATCACAGCAAAGGAGATTGGTCACCAGAAATCCAGCAGAACCACTGGAGGATTCAACAGCTAGAGAAAGACAGTGCAACTTCCTATAGACTATACCAGCAGAGCTTCTCAAATGGTTACTAGAGTAGAGAAATAGCACTTGAATATGGCTAGCTTATGGAGGGATCTTTAAAATTTAGAAATATTGTACTGAAAGTTTTTATGGCATGAGAAAAGTAAAGCAACAATTATAGTTGTGTGAGCGGTGTAAAATTATTTTTTGGCAAAAGAAATAAAAAATATTGGAAGATTGGAATATTGTTACAGGTATTTTAGACATAGAATTAGTATTATTTGGTAATTGACTGGAAATAATGGAACAACACAGAATAGTTCAGAATAAATGGCTTTAAAGTTGGATATATCTGTATGATCTCCACAAAATTAGGAGGAGAGGAAAACAAGAACATGTTTGCTTTGGATGTACTGATATTCTGGTGCGGATGCCAATCATTCAATTCTCAAATTCATCATTATAATTTCCCTAATTTATGGCTGATAACTTAAGCAATGTCATATCATGTGTGTTAGTAATGGGACCTTTAAATTACTATAAATTAATGTTTGCCTTATGTGTATGTATATATAAAGATTGAAGTTGTCAACATCAACATTGCCATTCTTCTAGGATTAATAGTCAACCCCAAACTCATAGTAACATAAGTCAAAAAATTAAATGAAAAGTCATATTGCACTGGGAACATCTGGCAAAGATAGAAAGTATAAAAGAGCAAGAATATAAGTTTGAAGACTAAAGTGCACATGATCCAAGCCACGGTATTTTCAATTACTTATCGTGCATCTGAAAATGAGAAGAGTACTAAATAGCCATGGATTGCCAAAATAACAAACAAATCTGTCTTGGAAGAAGTGTAACTATGGTACCTATAAGAGATCAGGATGGTAAAACTGTTTAATACATACTTTGGTTATGTTGTCAGGAGGGACCAGTTCTTGGAAAAAGATATCATGCTGAGAAAAGTCCAGGTCCAGAGAAAAGAGTAAGATCCTCAACAAGATGCATTGACACAGGGACTGTTAAACTGGGGTTAAAGTACTGGAAATCATGGAAAATAGAGACTAGCCATGAGCTCGAGTATTGTGAAGACCATGAGGATGGCACATAGAAAGGACACTGTTTGGATCTGCTGTTAATAGAGTCATTATGTGGGAGTGTATCTTTTCTAAACATAAGTGTTGTAGGCAGTATTTCATAGAAGAAAAGAAAATCTCCTAGGGAGACGGATGGAGAAGCTAGAGTGGATGTTCTTTCTCTGTCATATCTCGGTTCCATAACTTGAAACATCATAACAGATCGCAGCAAGGCTTAAACAGCTTTAAACTGAGATCAGAAATAGGAGCACATCCTCTTCTCACTTACAGTTATTTATAGCAAAATTTTTATGTGAAAATCAATTTTATACAAAATGGAAGGCGACTACATCATTATATATTTACCAGATTTCATTATCAAATGATTGTAAAACCATTGAGAATCAAGGCCTAGACAAGTTGGTACAGACTCCTGTTTTGCTATTCTTACTTAACCTGAGGGAG